TAAATAAAAAGATATGTTCCTACCAAGCGTGGCGACGTAAGTCTGTTTTGGTTTGGAACGAGATTTTTGAAAAATGTTTCTACCAAGCGTGGTGACGTAAGTCTGTTTTGGTATGAAACTATATTTTTAGGTAACCTTCCTACCAAGCATGGTGACATAAGTCTGTTTTGGTATGAAAGTGGATTTTGTAAATTGTTTCTACCAAGCATGGTGACGTAACTCTGTTTTGGTATGAAACTTGTTTTAAGTAATAGTTCCCCCAGACGTGGTAACTTTTGTCTGTTCTGGTTTGGAACTGAGAATGGGTACTTTCAGACGTAGTGACTTATGTCTGTTATGATAAGTAGCCCTGTTTTGATGGAGGAATAAGGATGACATATCAAGGAGAGGTGTACTTGGAATAAGGGTGGCATTGTCATATGTGGATAATATTATAACTCTTATTATTATTACTAATTGGATTTAATAACTTTGAGTCATCATTTTTTTGTGACCTAATGAATTAAAGATATTATTTCTATTTAGAAATAATAATTTAGATGTTATTGAGAAGGGKAAAATAGTTTGTCATATCAGGCAAGTATTGCCTTAAATCTTTTCTGTTAATATTTATAAATGAATAGTCCATTGATTCAAGAAGTTTTGGTTACAATATTTGTTTCATATTGAGAACGTTGGATCTCTAATCAGAGATATTTTATAAAATTGAGGTTCTTGGGTATACTCTATTTTACATGATATTGTGAACTGCATCATTTATTTGTAATGCAAAATATTTCTAAGTGGAATTACATTATCATATTTTGGTGTTCATCACCCTGCATTTGCAAGGAAGAGATTTACTCACTAGACCCATCTGGTCTAACCCTCATTTTCTGTTTTAAATTATGCAATGCAGGAATGGCGGGGTCCGGGGATATTAAAGAGAAAGGGAAAATGTGATTATTTTCCTAATCTGTTGTCTACTTTTGAAGATACATGTTGCATTACATGTAATAGTACATGATTTGTTTTGGAAATTTTTATATGTAGATTTTGTACATATAGTAATCCTTGTACTAGTGGGACCTTATGATGTAAACTATATTTCTATGTAATGAAATATGTAATATATGCAAATGTGGTGTTTGGGGGTGTTACACCAGTTAATATGTTACGACGTTAAACAATTAATTTATTAAAATTAAGTGTCTACACAAACAATATTAATAATTAAGACAAAGAAAATATTTATTAAGTTTTTTTTTTTGTATAATTTTCATTTTGTGTTCGATGTACAAACGATTCAAGTTCAACTGTTTACCTAATGAAGACCAAACAATCAAATTAAATGTTTGAAAGTACGTTTTCTAAAATTGATATGTCATTATTTTTTTAATTCTTCAAAACCCCTTATAAATTAATCCAAAATAAATTATAATTTGGTCAAAAAGTTGACTACCGACAATCCCAATTGGAACATGTTTCTAATGTGAGAGGATATTTTTTGGTTTACTCAACGTCTAAGGCTAGCGGAGGGGCTCAGGATCGAATTAGGAAATCGTCTTGTATTTACCAACTGATCTACACGTCAGAGACTCAAAGTAGATAATAACTGTTATATCCATAACATTTAAGAAGAAGAAACAAGTTTATAATAAATTGATAATAAAAAATTTTGGGTGCTGAAAATGATTTACTTTTTGATTTTAAATTTAAAAACTACACATTTATATATATATTTTAAAAAGAAAAATAGGCAATCACACCCGACAATTCTTGTTTCCGACCCGACTTGCAAGCTACAACAGATGAATGAACAAAAAGAACTGATCTTTCTAAATTACGTGTTAAAGAGGGAATTGTGGTCCAAATCTACACAACCCCATGAGATGTGTGTGTGTCTTCTCTCTTTCTTATTTCTTTTCCTTTTGCAGTTGAATTATTGGTTTTTTTTTAAGACAAGCAATAATATTAGCAAGAAATAAAAGCAACAAACAAAGTTCGAACGAGGAATCTATAAAATACAAAACCGAACCAACTAATCTCAGGACGACCACCTGCTTTGCAGATAGCCCGGAGTCACTGCATTTAAACCTCCGTGGCCACAAAAGGATTTTTGTTTCTCATTGGATTTGAATTTGAGACCTTCTAGTACTTTTGACCTTTGGAGTCAAACTCAAATTAATCAGGCACCACCCTTGTGGTTTAATCTATAAATATCATAACAATATCTCAAAGGGTCATGTTTTTTACGGTTTGTTTGATTTGCAGGACTGTTTTTAAGGGATTTGAAATCATTTGTGTGTTTGGTTTGTAGGATTTGGAATGAAATTGGATTTCAATATTTATAAATAATTTATATAAAAAATTATAAAAATAATTGAATCATATATGTTGAAATCTTGATTAAGGTTATGATTAGTGATAGGGATATTGTTGGGTAGATGTGGTTGGTTGGTTTTGGTAGCCCACATATTGAAAAGGAGATTATTGTAACTTAGGATCAACACTAAGACTAATTATTTATATTTGGAGTTACCAAAACTCAAAGGGATTATATCACACATTTACTTCATTTTCACAAAGATTGGTTTCAAAGTTTGCTGACCAAGTGTTTTTCCTTTCACTCAGAGTTATAATCTACGTAAAAAAATACGATAACAGTCAAATTATGTGTGATATCACTGAAATTACATGTGATTATTGATCATAATCAATGTAAGAATTCTCGTGTTTTCTTATTTGGTCATTGTTTTAAACCCGATCATATACATACATACATATTTATGGACCATAATTCAATCACTTTCACATGTATGAATTTGTTAAAGTTTTAGTCATCACTGAAGGTTTTTTCTTACGTTTTCATAGAAAAACAATTATTCTCATGGAAGTCTAACGACATAGTGTGTGTGTGTGTATATATATATATATATATATATATATATACTTGGATCATTTCAGACCAACATATTTTTGTTAGACCTGTTAGACCATCTTTTTACACTTGAACATTCATAGTAAAAAAAACACTATGAAGGTAACCTTCACAGTTAAAAACACATTTTGTAAAAGAATTGATATATGTTTTTTAAATTTGAGTATAATAATAGTATATTATATTGTTTATTAAAATTTGAGTATAATAATATTATATTATATTGTTTTATTAAAATTTGACTAAAACAACGTTGATTATTTTATATTATTTTAGACTTTCAGAAAATTCATTTTAATAAACTTTTGCTAGTTAAGAAAATAATACTAATATTTTTTAGAGTATGAAATCTGACTAAAATTTATATCTATATTATATTATAAAATATTTGATAAAATCTTTTAAAAATTATTATTTTTTATATATGATGTACTGTTTATTGATGCATATTACTTAAAATCCAATATTACAAGTAAATTTTGCATAAGTACAACTTATTAGATCTTTATGTTTGAATTCGTATAACTAACTACAGATAAACATAATCAAATATAAGATACACTTCTCATTTTAAATACAAAAAATCTAAAATATAATTAGGATGATCATTGAGTTTTAACAGAATACGTAATCATTATTTAAAAAAATATATATTATTAAACTAAAAATAAATTACTTCGTCATTAAATCTAAATTAAATTATGATAAAAACCTGAATTAAATAAATTACACAAAAGAAGGAGAATTTTTAAATAGTTAATTTAAATATATATATATATTTTAAATTTTTATGATATTTTAAAATGTATATTTTATTCAAAAATAAAAACATTGTCGTTTTTTCAAAACCATATAAAACAGTATTATAACATCGACAGAGACAGAGAATAAAATAAAATATTAAAATCGAGATATATATATCTTGTTGTCTTGTGCAAGTACCCTTCTAGTTATATTTTAAAGCCTTTAAGTTTTTTTTTTAAGAATATAAATGTTTAATATTATATATAAAATATTTTTTATATTTTTATTTTATATTAGGTAAACAATAAGAATAAAAGTATGAAGTTTGGAGACCTATAAATTTATCATAAGTTTTGAAAATTATAAATTACCCGAAATGTTATAATTTTTTAATCAAACATGTCGGTTTCGAATGAATCTACAAAAGTTTTAAATGTAACAGTTTGTCGAGGGGGTTGAATATGAACACACAAAATTTCACTTTTTGAATTCGTTTATTAATTAAAAAAAGATCAATACAAAATGTACAGATCGTTGCAGAAAAAAGATAATGTTGAGACCTAATCTAAATAATCTAAGAAACACAAAGAAATGCACAAAGAAAGATAAGAACAAGAGATAAGAGAGTTAGATGTAGGAAGAAAGCGTTGCTTAGAAGAGAGATATTCTTAGCTATTTATACGCATTGCATTAGTTGCAAGTCAGAGGGTACAAACCACGTGACAAACTTCTAGCCGAGAGCATGTCCTTTGTCTTTAGATACGCAGGCTTTTGGCTGCATATGGACAGTTGATTTTTCACAAAGCTGGTAAGCACGCTTGGAGACAATAAAGTAACTTAGTATGTGTATTTTTCTGTGTAAGGTATGAGGTTGTCCTTGTGCAAATAGGATAAGACAAAAATCAATCTTGTAGAGCAAGATTCATTTGATCGTTGACACTGATTCATCTCCAAAGGTTCTTCAGTGTTCGCTGAGTATTGGTTAGATTTTACAATTTGATTTATACATTCTTGTTATCACTAAATCCACTTCACGTCACGAATTCTAACGTCTCTATCTTCAGCTACTTTTTCGACATCGCTGAAGGTTCATTTGGTGTGCGTTTGTCTTTGAGGATAATTTTTATTAAAAAACATTCTATTCTAACTTATAATAAATTAAAAAATAATTTTTATTAAAAAACATAAATCATTTCAAATAATCAATCCCAAACAATGCCTAAATGTTGAAAATCATTATTTATATTAATTTCACTTAAGAAAAACACTATATATTGCTGAATCACGCGCCTACACATACACACGTGCTCGGAAGTCGCAAGGACAGTTATGCTCAGCAAATCTCCCCTAAACCCACTCCCCACTCCTCCGCGCAATCTTCTCGCCGGCGAACTGTAACGGTCATATTCCGATCCCCTACCACCACGTCCTCAGCCGATCACGCCTAACTTCTATACATTAAATTCTTGATTTTATTGTTCACTACAATTCTCTCCGTGAATTCCTCATCGGAACTTCGGAATTTGTGATTTGATCTGAACTAGGGTTTAAAACCGTGGAGTTTTTGGTTAGAGGATGCGAGATAATGGTGGCTAACGTGTCTTCTACCACTGTTACACCTAACCCTAAGGTAGCATCACGCGGTCCGTCTCCGGCGAAAGCCAAACGTGCGCCGCTGTTACCTTCTGAGGCGGACAACAATGGTCCTTCTCTCCCACGTCGGCCGAAATCTAGAGATGTTGGTTCACGGTACTTGTCTTCTACTCTTTCTTCAGCTTCTGTCACAACTACAATGACGTCGACGTCGTCGTCGTCTTCTTTTTCATCTACCACGACGTCCTCGTCTTCGAATTCTATGTGTACTCCGAGGAGGCGATTCCCGTCGCCGCTGGTTTCTTCCTCGAATCTGATGACGCCAGCGTCGACGGTGAATAACAAGCGAGCTCAGTCAGCAGAACGGCGTCGTCCTGGGACTCCGCGAGCTGGTGAGATGTCGGCTACCGCGAAGATGTTAACGTCGACGCCGGCTAGGAGTTTGTCAGTTTCGTTTCAAGGTGGATCGTTTGCGCTTCCGGTAAGTAAGCCATCGAAGCCAGCGCCTACTGCTTCTAATAACGGATCGAGACAAAGTACCCCGGAGAGGAGGGCTGTGACACCAACTAGGAAGTCAGGGAATTCAAAACCGATTGATCAGCAAAGGTGGCCAGGGAGATCACGGCAGGGGAGTTTCATGACGAGGAGTGTGGATTTTACAAATGAGAATATGAAATTGAGTGGATCTGTGACCGCGAGTGCTGTTAGGGCTTTACAAAAGTCTATGATCTGCGAGACCAAATTGAAACCTATTAAGCCTGAAATTCCTGAGCTTAATAGAAGTATTAATAAACTTGTTAGTGATTGTGATAAATCAGATCGTGCTGTTTCTGATGCCGAAAGTGTTTCCTCTGGTAGTACTCCGGGTACCATCCGAGGTGGGACACCTCGAGCCGTTGTGGTGCCAGCTAGATTTAGGCAAGGAACCGTTAATCATCTCAGGAGGGTACAACCTGAGCCTGTTTCACCGCCATTATCTCGAAACAGTAAGTTACCTTCAGGGAATAGGTATCTAAAAGATGGTCCAACACTATCCCCACGAGGATCGTCGCCCTCTCCAGTTAGAGGAGCTGTTCGACCGGCTTCCCCAAGCAAGAGTGTTCTTTTGTCGTCCACTTCATCTCCGTCAAGAGGTATGCCCAGTCCAACAAGAGCACGCAACGGAATAGGCTCTAATAATAATTTCGTCAACACACCTTCAATTCTTAGCTTTGCTGCTGAAGCTAGGAGAAGGAAGGGAGGAGAGAACGCCATTGTTGATGCACATGTCTTGAGGCTGCTGCACAACAAATATTTGCAATGGCGTTTTGCAAATGCAAGAGCAGATGCTGCCATGTTGATCCAGAGTGCAACTGTTCAGGTATTACCTAAAATTTGAAGCTTTCATAATAATGAAAACTACTGGTATGGTATGCTTGCTTTCTCTGTTGTAGTTAGCTTGATACTCTTTGCGACCGACAACTGCACACACCCTTCATGTCAATTGATTGGTATTGTACTGTTACCATTTTCTTTCATTTGAAATCACTTGCTGTTAGCTTGTTCGAAAATGACATGGTCCATGGACCATGGTTTATGTTGTCTGGGGGTAGGGGATAGTCGTTCTCACTTAGAATTTCAAATATGCAAATTAATGATTAAGAAGATGGAGCTATGAGCATATGGAACGAGCAGACATCAAACAATTAATTTCATGTCCTCCCCCCAGTATAGTGACCGGATTTAATGCCTAAAAAGGTCTGTCTTATCTCAACTGGAGTCAATTATTTGGTGAGCTACTGATGGACTAGCGTATTGTTTTAATGTGCTTGATATGACATATGAGTACAGTTGTTAGGAGAGTGGAGGTATGCAGAAAGAACGCTAGAGTGTTCTTAGGAGAGCTCGGGCCTCTCGAATAGCCAGAAACTGTTCCTTTTTATTGTAATTGGATCACCCTTCACTTGTTCTTATCTCCTGGTTACTACTTCCGTTGTTCAATCGGTCCAGTTCATAACAGCATGCTAGAGAATTGACGTTTTACATCCGAGTACTAATCTACTTATGGAACTTCGGGAAAATTTTAAGCATAAGGGCCGTTTTCGATGGCATCAAAGCTTTGGGTATATCCACAAAGCTTTGCAAGAGCATCAAAGCTTTTTGGAGTCCCGGATTTTGCTAGGAGATTGTCCACAAATTTTTATTGCAGTTGTAGTGGTAGTAAGTCCATGTCGGTCTACTTATCTGCTTAGAAGTTCAATAGGCTATCTGAACTTCTTCTGTTTCTATTGGCCTTGGCACGGTCAAGTTACTCATGCGATTTATTTATTGTGATGATAAATAAACATGGATATTTCTGTTACTGTTATGTTGGTTTGTCTGCTGGAGGTGTGGCTTTCTTTTTAATCATCCTGGCATCTAGCTATTTCCCACAGGACCTGTTATGCAACATGTTCATCGTCCACTGCAAAGATTACACTTGTGAAAGGTTGCTCAACAAGGACTTGCTATATTATTTCAAATAAAATTTAGTGCTCTGTAAGCCTCAGTTATCACATATAGATAATACGTATTTAATATGAATGGTATTAAGCGGGTGCTTGTTTTCAACTTAATAAGCTTCATGGGTGGTTAGCTTAATTGATTTAGTTATATTAAGGTGTTTGATTTTAACTTAACATGTTAAGTTAAGCCATCCTGTCTTAATGCATTAAGTTAAATTTTTTTTTCAAAAAATAACTTTGTCCAACAATTTTTAATTACACGTCTCTTAAAAAAAATAAATAGTTTACAACCATGCATAAATTAGAAATTGTAATCATACAATAATATTTTATTGTTTTAAATATATTCTAAGTTATTAAGTATTGTGTATGAACTGATTTTCATATTATTTATGTTATTTTAAATAATTCATATTATTTTAATTTTTTGTCATTTTAAATGTTTATCAAACAATTTATTTTCAATCAGCACTTATGTAGACATAAGGATAAAATGGTAACTTTTGTTATTCAGAACAAATATCAAACAACAATTTATCTTAATTTGTCCAGACAGACTACTGTTTAAGACAATTTAATAGATTCAGAACTTAATAGATAAAAAATCAAACAACCACTATTTCACGATTTTGTTATGTTCGTTGTTAAAGGTGGTTTCTACCCTGTTGGTTCTTGTAGGTAAACAATAAGGTACTTAAAGGTATGCTTTTGGTTATGCTCTTAAATGAAATGCAATCTACATCTTATCTTCTGGATTAGGTTATGCTAAAGGTCATGATCTAAGTCATATTTTGCTTTCAGAGTATGCCATTGACCTGTAGAGTAGAGTGGACCTGTTATTTCATATAAGCTGGTTAATTAATTTTCTAGTCGATGGTGGAATATGGCAGCCTGCAGTCTTAGTGGTGTCTAAATGAACTATAAGTTATTTTCTAATTGAATAATAATTTGATTTTATGGGACGTCTTGCATTAGGCTGTCTTCATAAGAATGACCTGTTATCCCATGTAAAAGGTTAACAACTCTGTCAATAGGTAGCATCACCAATGGTCTGGAATGAGAGATGGATGGTCGTTATTATTAGATGTTAATATTTTTTTGGATCTCCCTGACTCTTTTTATATCTGTACATTTATGTATATAAATATATGCATGAATTGAGAGTAAAGACCTTTAGTTTCAGGCTAATTCCATAGAAATATTCTGATTTTATTGTCGGATGTTAATGTTTTTCTTGGATCTCTCAGGCTGTCTCTATATTTGTAGGTTTATGTATATAAATATATGTATGAATGTGAGAGCAAAGACCTTTGCTAATTCCTTAGGAATATTCTGATTTCAGTGTGCTATATTACTCTAACAAACACCTAACTTCAATTACAATTGCTACGAGTGGTTCTTTTTTAATTTTATCCTGTCAATATCTGTGTCATGATGTCTTCATGTGTATCTAATTGATGAAAAATGACGAAGTACTTGATACATGGCTCGGTTATGCACTTGCTACAAGTATGACTTGTATATATGTTAATAACATTCAAAACTTTGACTCATGCAAGGTTTTATTGGATTTCTTGCTCAGAAAATCATCTGAATGCAAACATTTTAGGAAAAATAGGTAGAAATTGCACCCCCAAGTGCCTTTTTTTCTTTATGTACATTGGTTGCCTAATGTTATAATCTATTTCAGAAAAGTCTATATAATGCATGGGTGACTACATCAAAAATGCGGCAGTCTGTCATATCCAAACAAATTGAGATACAACAGCTGAGGCAGAACTTGAAGTTGCACTCTGTTCTCAAGAATCAGGCAAGAAAGAAATTTTCTTCATCATCATTTMATGTTTGTTGCTGATTCTTTCATCTTTCCATCTCTTCTATTGGCATTTCATTATATGGCTTCATTGATCATCCATATGTAGCTTATCTTCTTCTCATTGTACACTTGGGATGTCTTCTTGTATATTCTAGATTATTATGACAATACATAGGAGATATGGAACTTGAGTGTTTGATTGACCTTTTTGTGCTTTTCCATTGTTAGGATGGTTCTCATATTCTAATCAACATATGGAGATGCATACTTGCTCTACAGTTCATTACATTAGTAGTGGTATCTTTTAGTTATCTGCTAGCATAGTGCAATCTTGTGATCCTATTTATTTGACAAATGCAGATACCATGTTTGAAGGTGTGGGATCAAGGTGAAAGAGATCACTCTGTCTCCTTGTCTGGGGCTATTGTCTCTCTGGAATCTAGCACTCTGCGTCTTCCACTTGTTGACGGTGCAAAGGTATTTTATGTCTTGTGCCTTCAAAAAGATATAGAAATGTTAGGGGTTTCATGTTGTGGCTTTGAAAGTTATTGGTAAGATTTGTTACTTTTTACAGGCGGATGTCCAAAATTTAAAAGATGCTATCTGCTCGGCAGTTGATGTCATGCAGGCAATGGCATCCTCGATATGCTCTTTAGTAACTAAGGTTTGTTGAAACCCCTTTCGTCTTTCTTGCAGTTGTATGAAGCTTTAGTTACTATTACTTGTTGAATACTTTGTAGCACAGCAGATTTTGTTGATAAAAGATCAGAATTGAACCATAATAGCTTCTGAGTAAAGGGTAGAGACTTTTTCAGGCATTAGATATAAAACTTCATCTTAATGAAGATATGCCTTTTGAATGAAAGCCCAGATTGAGTTGGTAGATGTTGCCATGCCAGTAACTGTCAAAACCTTTGAGAGTAGATCCGAAACAGTTACTGATTTAGTTATCATTTCACTACATGGTAGGTATAAACAAGTTGTAGGTAAGATGTTGATATCGGGGAGTGAATCTTGATGTGACAAATGATAGGGCATGTAGCAATTTTATTCATCTTGTGATTAATAAGTTCCTCAAGGAAAACCACAAGGGTGGTGTCTGATTGGTTTGAGCTTGACTCCGAATGTCAAAGTACCGGGAGGTCCCAGGTTCAAGTCCAAGGAGGAATAAAAATCCCCTTGTGGCCACGGAGGTTCAAATGTGGTGACTCTGGGCTATCTGCAAAGCAGGTGATCGCCCTGGGATTAGTCGGCTCGAATAGTGGGTTGGATTTCTAGGTTAATAAAAAAAAGTTCCTCAAGGAAAGGAATATATGTTTATATTAGAACTTGAAGTAAAAATAAAATGAAATGTGAACAGGTGGAGCATGTGAATGGATTGGCATCTGAACTTGCAAGCACAACCACAAATGAACGTTGTTTGATTGATGGGTGCAAGGATCTGTTGTCAATACTGACACACATGGAGGTAAAAAAACCATGAAAATTCATCCCTTTTCTTTACCAGTTATGATATCCAACATTCTCACATAGCAAAATGAAGATGTAATTGTAATTGTAATTGTGATTGTAATTGTAATTGTAATTGTAATTGTAATTGTAATTGTGATTGTAATGCAGATGCAGAACTGCAGCCTGAGAGCACACACGTTACAACTGCAACGTTTACCTCCACATGTGTAAAGAAGACCTGTTTCACTGCTTACTGCTACTAACTTGATCAATAATTGGGGTTTCTTTTTGTATATGCATAGATAGAGGGAGACTAGGAGGGAGGAAGGGAGGGAAGGAGGGAGGCATACAAAGTGATTTGTTTGTGTAGTAGGAGGATAGAGATGATATATGTAATGTATATATGGACTCTTCTCGTGTTTTTTATGCTCTCTCATTTCTCTTTTATCATCATGATGTTGATTGGATTGGGTTCGGTGTGAAGGGAAGTTATGGTGAAAAACATAAGAAGAGACCTCTGTCACCGGATCAATCCTAATTGAATGTCAACGCGAATGAGATGTAAAATGCAATTCATGGGTGGACATAAGATTAAAAGTGATCGAAACTGCTATCTAGATATTATTTCTTTCCTATAGATAAAGAAAACACCGACATTTTATTTAGTAAAATTTATCATTTGGTAACCTATGAAGTATATGTCAATTCTTTTATGTATATTACTTATTTTAGGATGGAGACAATGAACAATCTAAAAATATGTCTAGTATTGCATCGTTTGGTATTCTTATTGACATAAACATTGGTTACCTTCAAACATAAGAGTTCTCATATATAATATATTATAGAATTAAATACAAATTTAGTCCCTATTGTTTACATAAATTAACGAGTAAGGTTTCTGAAAAGAATTATTAACAAGGATGTTCCTATAGTTTCATTTTTTATAATGGATATGGTTCTTCCTCTAACTTCTTCAGTTAAGTTTTCATTAGTGAGTGGCACATTTTTGTCTATTCACCATTCTCTTTTCCCAACTTTAATTTCCAATAACATATTTGGTCTCTCAAACTACTTTTTATTTTCTAACATATTTGGTTCCTCAAACTATTTTTTATCTTTATAACATATTTGGTCACTCCATCAACTTTCATTTTTAGGATTTAGTGCCTCCATTTAACCGATAAAATTTGGTGGCACAAATATATATTTTCTAAATATAATTAGCAAAGTAGTTAGATAAAATTTGAAACTTAGATTTTGCCATGAAATATTTATGTTTTCAGAAAATAAAATATAATTTTGATAAAATTTTGTTTTAATTAGTTGAAAATTAAACTAAATATTCAACAAAATATATGTATATATATATATATATATATATATATATATTAGATAATAAGATGTAGTCAAAGACCTTCCAGCCTAATGGTAAAGGCTTGGACATGGCATAGTCATGAACCCGAGTTCGAGCCCTGGGAGGGGAGTGTTGACGACATTTAAGCGGGGCCATGTTTAGCCTCCAAATTTGCCGGGGATTAGTCGGGCTTCGGCCCGGACACTCTTACAAAAAAAAAAGAAAAAAAAAGATGTAAAAGTATTAAGTTTAAGCATTTTATTAAAACTAACTAATATAGAAAAATGACGAGCCCCATCGTATCCACCGGGCTATTCATCGAATTCGGGAAAATTTGAGTTGTCTATTCGGAAAAGTTATGAACTAATGATAGAACTGAAATATAAATTGTAGTACGAATCGCTATGCTTCGCTTCTTTCTATATGATAATATGCACCTTGGATAGTAGGTATCTGATTCACTGTGTTAGGAGGGAGGCTTATATTCTAAGATCAAAACTTATAGTTTTATTATAATAAAATAGCGATATAATTTAACACATCATAATAACACTAATAATTTTCAACCAGTTAATACTAAATTATAACGTTTTTATATATTTATTAGTTTATTAATTATAATTATTTTTAATGTATATAATAGTTAAAGAAAGTCACATTTTTATATCATATGTAACTATAATATATTTTTTGTATATWAAATAGTTTTATTAAATTACTTAAATTTATACTTTTATGTCTTATTATTTAACATATTGTCGGGTATTTAGTTTTAAAGTTTTTCAATTTTCAAGTAATTAAAAAAACATTTATCAGTTATGTTTTATTTGAGTTAAATGATTTCATGGAAGTAATATTTCTGAAAAGATAAAATGTTTCATGTCAAAATCTAAACTTTAAATTTTATTTAATTATATTAGAAAATACATGTTTGTGCCACCAAATTTTATTGATTAAATGGAGAAATCAAATCCTAAACATGAAAGTTGAGGGAGAGACCATGTGCGTGTTTGAGATAGCTTATAGAAACAACTTATTTACTTATTCTGGTATGACATCGGTAATAAGCATTTTTGAGTGTTTGGATAAACTGTTTATACCAGTGTCAAATCTGTAATAAGGAGTTTTTAAAGAAGTTAAATCATTCTAACTTATAATAAGTTGATAAAGACTTTTATAAAAAAAGAATAAGTTGTTTCAAATAAGCAATCCCACACGCCCCCAAATATGTTATAAAAATAAAAAATAGTTGAAGGGACCAAATTTGTCATCATAATGTATATTAGTTTGAGGGAGCAAATATATTACAAAATGAAAAGTAGTTTGAGAAAGCAAATATGTTATCGAAAATTAAAGTTGAAGAAAAAAGACGGTGAATAGACAAAATGTCCCTCACTAATGGAAACTTAACTGAATGAGTTAAATAAAGGATCATATCCGTTATAAAAATAAAAACCCTAGAAATTTTACTAGTTAATTTATATTTAACTCTATATTATATATTTAAAAAAATTGAGTTATTTGGATAAATGATTATGTAAAATACTGCAAAACAGAATTTATATTGAATTATTCAAATTTAATACTTAGTAATGTATTTTATTAATTCAAGTTATCAGTGTTAAATAAATAATTAGAATGCCACATAAGTCTAGCAGGGCTGTCACTTAATGTTAAATATGAGATTTTACTTAATGTTAAATATGAGATTTTGAATAGGGTTCCCGAAATTTTGGGGCCCACATTTACCTGTGGTTAGGGTGTAAAATATAGCCGAAATTGTCTAGATTCAAATTATTAATTGTTTGGTTTTAGGTTTAAATTATCAATGTTTTAGGTTTAGTTTTAAATTGTTAATCGTTTAGGTTTAGCCTCTAACAACTCATGTCAGCCGTACAAGATATTGTCCGCTATGTCCGCATATATGAATGGCAACGGGCCGGGTTCAGGCCGGTTATTGGTATCCCCGTCCTTGAAACCGATAACTAAGACCGTTCCTGTAACGGCCCCGATCCCCGTCGGGGATCTTATCGGGGATTACCGTCGGGTTCCTGCAATTTTCCCGATCCGTGTTGTGAAACCCGTTAAGAGTAAAAATCCATTTTTCTCATTTGTTTCTCGTTTACCGTTGGTTATACCTGAATTTGAAACTCGAACCAATCTGGGAAAAAAAATTACAATACGTTAATTTTCACTACTAAAAGTAAATTACAAGTTTTTTTAAAGATGTAAGTCTAAATGTCTCAGACATAATCAATCCAATTACAAACAACGTCTTATATTATTATATAAAAATAAACAGAAATTCAAACATCAAACAACTAATATCATGATTAAACAAAATAAACCTAACTTTTTCGTGAGCCTTATTTGGGATGTTGAGGTAAATTGGATAGAAGTATTTTAAATTTTAATGTTAGTATTTTCTTTTAATGATATATATATATATATCATTAAAAGAATAAAATAAAATATTAAAATCACGATATATCTCGTTGCATTGCGAAGCGTACTCGCGCAATGCAACGAGATACATCATGATTTTAATAATTTATTTTATTCTTTATCTCGGTCGATGTTATAATATGGCTTTATGTGATTTTGAGAAAACGATGATGTTTTTATTTTTGAATAGAATATATGTTTGAAGATATCATAAAAATTTGACAAAAATATATTGATATTAGTATCAAATTAACTATTTGAAATTCCTCATTTCTTTGTGTAATTTTTTAATTCAATTTTTTTATAATTTAATTTATGTACAATAACGAAGTAATTTATATTTG